AAGGATAGTGCTCCTTTAACCATGTTAAGAGAGGTATTTTGTAGGAGCTCCTGCATGTTGCAAAGCGCCTTTTTCAAAGGATTTGCGCAGCCCTAGTCAAAACAGGCCTTTTCCAGTCTGAAATACCAGAATATTTCCTTCATTTCCTTCCATTACCCCAATACTCCTCTAGGTTCCCCAAGGTGAAACTTAGCAAACAGTTGTTTGTACTATATTACAAGTAATAGAATATATTACATGAATTACATAACCTCCTCCAGCGTGTATTCAAATGAATTAAAAGGAACCTTTGAATAGTTGTGTAGACTGGAAGCCCTGCTCACAGTTTAACCAAACACAGAATTACTTTTGCTAATTTGCAGGTCAAAATAAACATTCATTCCCTCATTGGTATTTTTTAAAAATTGAAGATCCAACTGAGAAATCGTAACAAGCACATCTGCATGTGGCATACACAGTTTTGTTTAATATTTTCCTGATTATAAGTTATAATGTGAGCTTCAATCAATTTCTGAAAGTCAACCCCTGGGAAAAATATGTTTTATTTTAGTATCAGTACATATTCTGTCTCCATATGAAGAGCTCTGTTATTTCAAATTGCTGTTCCATTTAATTTTCTTCATCCCGAGAAAATAGTTTAAGATCATGATCCCATGAAAAGCTCGGGCAGGATCTATTGCAAACAATGGCGTTTATTTTTTAGCAGATTTTTTTTAGATATATACAGTATAGACAGCCCTACAAAACATCTCTTATATAGTAGTCGTCGACTTACAACAGTTCATTTAGTGACCGTTCGAATTTACAACAGCTCTGAAAAATGTGACTTATGACCCCCCTTTCACACTTACAATTGTTGCAACATCTCCACGGGCATGTGAGCAAAATCAGACGCTTGGCAACTGACTCACATTTATGGCGGTTGCAGTGTCCCAGGGTCACGTGATCACCTTTTGCCGCCTTCTGACAAGCAAAGTCAATGGAGAAGCCAGATTCACTTAACAACCGTGTCACTAGTTTAACAAATGCAGTGTTTCACTTAACAACTGTGGCAATAAAGGTCGTAAAATGGGGCAAAACTCACTTAACAACTGTCTCACTTAGCAACAGAAATTTTGGGCTCCATTGTGATCATAAGTCCAGGACTACCTGTACTTTGACTATTGTTGATAAAAACACTTTTGTGAAGCCAGCATCCTTTTAAAGAACAATTTCACATTTTATGATGTGGAAGTGGTAAGAAAGGAAATGTCAGTGATCTTTCTGCATAACAGACAACCCACAAAGTTGCTCTAACAGAAAGTGCTGATATACTCCATAAAATAGAGTTTTGCTCCATTAATTAGTGGTAGGGATAGTATCGCTTTTGATATGTCTCTTCCAGACTGTGCTTTAAAACAATTTTACATTAGATATAAATAAGAATGATGCGCCTACAGTTAATTCTTCAACAGGAAAGATAATTTTAGTATATATAGGAGGGACAATTTGCAGAAAAATTAGAAAAGGTGATTTACAGTTTGCAGAGAATATGACTAACTCCTTTCTGCAATTCTTTATAGTAGTTGCATCTATCGCTTTCATTTATTTTGCAGATGACTGAGAGAAAATTCAAAGGCCCGTGAAATGCTATAAAGCTGAATGTCTCCTTTTCTTTCTTTTTTTAAATGCAGTGTTGCTAAAATCATTTTCTTATTATTAAGAGATACTGAGAAGAATATTTTTGAAAATGAGGCTACTACTTGTCAGGAAATTTCACAATTTCTGGAATGATAAAACTAGAATCTATTACTTCGTAATAGGGAAGCCAGTTAAAACATGGGGCAGCTTTACTATCAATTTTAGTGATTTCTGAACAAAGAAAAGCTTACATTGAACTTTATGTGGTCACTCTGCTCCTTGTATACTATATAATGATCAGTGCTAAAAATTCAATAGTGACCACTGGTTGTTAAGCAGGCAAGAGAAATAAATGTCTATCTCACTCTAAATGTTACAACGCACTTAAGGGGCGAGTATCAGAATTGTTAGTTTGCATAACTGCTATCTTGATATTATTTTCTTCTTGGTTTCTAGCAACATGTACAGTTTCCATTTACAGGTGTACCCCATTATTCTTTTAGCTTACACTGAATACAGTAATTTTTTTTCATTGATAATTATATTTAACCCCTTTGATGCTTGAAATTTGCTTGTTTATCTTTCTGCTTATTGCTTTTAGAAAAACAATTTCCATAATAAGTTGCCACTGAGACAGAAAAGTTGCAGAAAGGGACAACCAAAACTATCAAAAAGCTGAAATGTATGGGGGGGAGGGAGCAGTAATTGGGTCCTGTAGATTAGGAAATTTCAAATTTTCAATCTAAATAACTTCTGCTACAGTCTAGATACTGTCTTAATCAAATGTATTAACTCAAGAGCCTGCTGCCACAATCTGAATTGAGAACTGTGCCAGAGATGGCTTTAAATGGAGATAATAGGTTGTTGACAGACTTGGTAACTTAAATAGCAAAGTGGAACCTCCAGTTTCATTAGCATAATACCCCAAAATGTTCATTACTAGGGTGTCTGGAGGGAAACTGTTGCCTTCTGTGTGTGAGAAAGACACAGGAAGCCAAGTGATAGAACTTTGGTAAGACCTACAAGCTTAGCCCAGGATGGATTCATTTTCTTGCCCTGTAGAATTCCGCTTGGAATCTGCTACCGTCAATACTTGGGACTCTTTCCTTGTACAGATCTGAAGTCTTGCTTTCTTTCAAAATCCTATTTTATCTAATAAACAGATAAACTTGAAACACCTCTGTTTGACACCAGCTAGCTGCCCAAGAAACCTATTCTCTTTAAGGAGGGAGGAGACAACACTAATGTTATACCTGATAAAACACAAACAAATATTCCACCTAAGCAAAACCAATGATTTTTCTGACTTAAACATTCCATCAATTTCTAGTGAGAGCACAGAGTGTTGTTATATTTTCTTGACTGCATTTCTTTTGACACTGGCCTTTTATGGACTTCAGATAGACCGTCAGACGGAATCAAGATGTTTAAAGAGCAAAGCTCCCCAAGATCTAAAGTGTAATCAAGTTATATTGAAAGGGCAGAGAAATTGTCCTTAATTGCACCATCCTTTGTACACTACAGTGGAAACAATCCCTTTTTGATTAATGGGCTTACTTCCAGTTAACTGTGTACTAGATTGCAGCCTGAAGGAGCAAATCTGGGACTAAGCCCCACTGAAATGAACTAGATTTATTGCTGCAGAAACCAATTTAGAATTCTAGAATAAGACTGCAACTGAATCATCATATACTTGGGGTTAAGCTGCTAAGAAAAACAAATCCACACTCACAGCAACATTTAAATCTTCCAATTAACCTCCCAAATATTGGAAAGTAGGCTTCACTGAGATGAATATAAGCACAAGAGAAAGCATTTCAATAATTGCATAAAACAATTGCAGGAAAATGGCAAATAAGGAAGCAGAAAGAGGAAACACTTTATTAATGAAGACAAATATAATTGTCCCAAGATAATGTTGCAATCTGAGTTGGTCACTGGGACCAGAGGTTTGTTCTTCCAAGCTTTTGGACTCATGCTGGAGCCCATTCTCAGGGAACTCAGGACTCAGATTGGACTCTTCAACATTTTATTATACTGATCAATTTATCCTTTTTTTTTTACTAGTAAGGAAGAAACTACAAGCAGTTTTTTACAATATAGAATCTAAATCCTACAAACTTCAAACGCATCCTATCAGCAGCTAAATCCCCATCTGATATCCACAGAACTTTTCTGTAACTAGTGAGGCCAAGATCACAGTTTGTATTATAATCATTTGTCAATAGGCACAAAACGTTACCCTGCTGCTGAAAGTATTTCACAGAATACTAAAAATATTTTATTTGTTTACTACAAAATAGTAGCACTATTTTTTTTTAAACAAAGCTTCTTTGCATATATTGTTTTGCAATTCTTATTCAGTGGAGAAATATCTACACTTACAACGCTCTATAGGCTGAAGAAAACAAAAGATATTTTCAAAGAAAGAAAATGTAGGATACACATTTTATTAATATCAAACACCAATAACAAATATTATATTAAAGAAGAGTTTTTATTGATGTAATATTTCCTGATATCCAACTGTAATACACTCCCAGTTCCCCAATGCAACAAAGTAAATTTTCATTAAAACATTTTTTTCCTCTAATATTGGCAGGGTACTAAAATGTACCCTCCTCATGTGCCTGTGTGCCGTAATCTTACAAAATAAGCAACAAGCTTATTTCTAACCCATGGTCACTAAACAGTTCAAGAAACACAAAGTTTGCCTTCTTAAAAGAATCTCAACAATAAAAGTGAGGATTCAGAATTCAGTTCAAACTCCTCTGCTTCAAATTCAGGGGGATTTACTGTGGAAATGAGCCTGATTCATAGAAACTTCAATCTCTGCACACACAAATACATGTTGAATCTCTGACAAGAGGGAGGGAGGGAGATACATGTATTGATGAAATCTCTAACCCTCATATTTATCTGTAAGTTAGGGCTTGGCATCTGTAAGGTACACCTGTATAAAGCCTGTTTAGCTTAAGGTGCATTTGGGGAGGGGGGGGGAAATCCTCACTTTGCCATAGGAGATTTTTTTTTTTTTAACAGTCAAGGAATGAATCCTTAACTGGGCCATTTGTGATGAATTATTGTTTTTTTTAAATAACTTTGGTATAGTAGAACAGTAGTAGCAATAATAATAATGCTATAATTTTGCTAATTTGCTGTACATGTCTGCTCTGGGGTGATAGGAGACCCCAATAAGCAAGTGTGTATAGCAGCATTGCAAGACAGAGGGGATATTGCCTAAAAGGCCACAATCGCTCTTAATGGAACCCATCATGTTAAAAATTTTGAAGATCCAAGATGTTAATTTTAGTCTTGAAACATGATCACGTCATAGACATAATGTAAGAATTTAGGAATGGGAGGGGAAGTGTACTCACCAAAGGTGACATAGATCCATTTGGCAGGTAAGGATCAGACAGCATGAGGAAAGGGTATCCAGAATAAGGAGATCCTTTATACATCCCTGGGTCCTGATGTTTTAAACCTGTTAAAATTCAAGTCCCTGATTAGGATTTTGTCTCAGAACCAATCTCCCCTCCATTCCACACACATTTGTTTTACAAGAAGTGCATAATATGAGTTCACTAGCATCTGTGAGGTTCACCTGACATTCAATCCCCCCCCCCCCGTTACTGCCAGGCATGAGCCTCAGTTTGCAACTTATCTGGTGGTTAAAGATAAGCCACAAATGAAAGGACCGCGTCCCAGAATGAAACCAGTGCGCGCACGTGCTCATTTCTCCACCTTTGTTAAAACGGGTGTTCTTGGTTAATAAGGAGTGGGGTGCCTTCTGTCCCGGGTTTTTGTACCTGCTCTAAACCTCTTCCCCAAAGTGTGTGTGTGTGTGTGCGTGTGCGTGTGTGTGCGTGCGTGTGTGTGTGTCCCCTTCAAGGAACTCACTGTGCCAACAGTACCCAGACCAACTTTACCTCCCGCGATGTAATAGTCACTTATGGGGGAAAAAATGTGCTGTGGTGTGTGTGTTTGTGTGTGTGCAAAAGAGGCGAGGGGAGGATGACAGCCTACGGAGTAGCACCTTTAGGTTCAGTTTCAGTCGCCTGCACCCGCTGGCCCCGCAGGTCCGGGCTTTCACGAGTGGAGCAGAGTCCGTCTCCGGCGCGAGCGGGAGGCGTTTGCCTGCTTTGATTTCGCAGCGAGGCATTGACGTTTCCCCCGCGACCACGAGGGCTGCCAAACCTTCCCCCTTCTCCCCTCCCCTCCCCTCGGCGGTCATGCTCCCTCCCTTGAGGCACGGAGGGGCAAAGGAAAAGGTGGGCGGCGGGGAGAGAGGCGAGGAGGGGAGGAGGAGGAGGAGGAGGAGGAGGAGGAGAGGAGCTTTTCGAAAACTGACCCTCGTCCAAGTGATCCTGGAGTTTCTCCGCGTAGACCCTCTGGGGCTCCTGCAGCCGCCGGATTGCCTGCAAAGGCGAGGAGAGAGAAAGGGATGGAGGTGGCTGGCCCTTTTTATGTTTTTTTTTTTTTTTTAAAGTTTGCAAGCTCCTCAGCATAAGAGGAGAAAGTGATCTGGGGCGGGCGGGGTTCGGTCTCACCTCGGGATGGGCTCCGGCGGCGGCGGCGGCGGCGGCTCCGGCCACGGTTGCTGCTGGGTTGGACGCCTGTCGGTTGCTGCCGCCACTGCTGCTGCTTTCCGACTCGTTCACCAGGGATGATTTGAGGTCAGCCAGGTCCCCCTCGGTGAAGACGTTGGCCTGGATTTTCTCCTCCTGCTCACCTTCGTCCTTAAAGGCGATCATCTCGTCGTTGGCTCCCAGGTCGTCGCCTCCGCCGCTGAGTTGGGGCATTTTCTTCCCAAGCCGCGCCAGGGAAGCGCGAAGTGGTGCGTCGGAGCGACGCTGGGAAAGGAGGCTCCCGGCTCCCCTTCCTTTCTTTCTTGGAGAGGAGGCAAAACGTTTAGCCGGCTCCTGACCCGGTATATATCCTGGCACCCAACTCTCGCTGGAGCGCTAGTCTAGGGAGGGTGGGGGGTGGGGGCTAATGCTTGCGATCCAAGGCTGGAAAGGCAACCGGAGGGGTCGAGGCAACGATCCACCGCTTCCCTCCCGCGGTCTTGGGTGCCCCTCCTTCCCCAGCCCCGGGAAAGTTTGACTAAGCGGCAGCCGGCCGGCCAGCCAGCCAGCTAGCCTAACTGGGGAGCAGCAACGCCGGCGACTTTTGCTGGGGGGGGGGGGAAGAAGAAAGAAAGAAAGAAAGAAAGAAAGAAAGAAAGAAAGAAAGAAAGAAAGAAATCCCGAGCAGCAGCCGAGCCAGCGCTGTAAAGTGCGCGACTCGGGAAGAACACTGGAGAGTCCTAGCCAAAGATTTTCAACATCAAAGCTGCCGCCGGCTGATTGACAGCGGCGGGGTGGGATTGGAGCGCTCTGTTCTCCGGCGACGCGCTGCAGCCTTAAAGAGACAGCGCCCGTCTCCTCCCGCCCGGCTGCGGGCGATGCTCGCGACGGAGCAATTTAGAGCCGGCGCTCTTCGCCTCCCCGGGATGAAGGGCGGCAGCCTTGGCAGGGGCGCCATACAATCTCGGGAGTGGAAAGAGGGGCGCCAAGCTTTCCCTCTCCTGACGAAAGTCGGTCCCACCCGAGGGATTGGCGCACTTACACGTGTCGGTGCGCAAGTAATACGCAGACGCCGCCGTCCTGTACGCAGACAGTGCGAGGCTTTGGAAGAGAAGGAGAGCGGCGAAACCCACGCACAATGAACGAATGAATGAATGGCCTTTGCCGCCGGGCTGCTCCCTTCTCCTGCCCCCCTTCCCCCGACCTAGGTGGCCTCCAGAGGGCTCGAACGACTCGCAGAATTCCCAGTCAGCCAAAGGCTGCGGTGACGGGGGATTATGGGAGATGTCGTCCGACACGTCTGGAGGAAAGCAGGTTGGGGAAACCTCTTTTAATGCAACAGCGTTAATCTTTAGGCAATTGCCTCAGAGAAGGATACGGCGGTGGGGTTTTTTTTTTTTTATTAAGACTCTGTACTCCAGTGTTTCTCAACCTTGACAATTTTAAGGCATGTGGACTTCAACTCCCAGAATTCCACAGCCAGCAATGCTGGCTGTGGAATTCTGGGAGTTGAAGTCCACATGCCTTAAAATTGTCAAGGTTGAGAAACACTGCTGTACTCGATATTCACTTTTACAAATCTCCATCATTTCGGAATCCCCTGTTAAGGTTATGGAACCAATTCATATGAAACAATCACAATCTGTCTGTCTGTCCCGCTCTCTCTCTCATCTGGGTGAGATCACAGTGGAGTTTCTTTCTGAGCAAAGAAAGAAATTCCACTGTGACCCTTGGTTGCTGTAAGGGTCTAACCCCATAACCATTTATTTGCAAGTCATCTCAGGAATGGAACCAGGATGGGTTCATCTATCAAACCAAACCATGATTTGTTTCACCCACTGTTGACTAGATTCATGCAACATGCTAAATTTTAAAAAAGCATGTTATGGCTCCAGTTAATCACACTATTTCCTAATAAACTCATATGAATTACAACTATTTCTATATACTATGCGAAATAGAATCAGGTCTTTCTGACATCTAGTCACCCAAAATTGCACTGCTGCTGTTTACAGCTGTTGTTCTAGCAAGACATGCCTGTCTTCCCCACAGATCCTAGACACAATTTTCTTAATTTTAATGGCACCAACTTTTAAATAAGCTCGGGTTAGATTAAGCCTTAATTGCCCTTATTTTATCGTATTTTATTTTCTTAATGAATGGGCAGAACTATTTTTTAAATTAAACTTGAGGTTTAGGCTAAACCCAAACTAGTCAAACAACATGAAGCATCAGCAGTGGGTTTTTATTAATACTCAGCTTTTCCAGCTGTGCCTAAAACTCTACCCACATATTCTGGCATATTGAACCAATGGGACTGACTTCTGAGTAGGTCAAGCAAGTGTGGGCTGTATTTCTGATATTTGCCTACTGCCGACTACCCTCCCTTTTGGTCTCATTGGCTGCAGAGAAGCTCAACTAACCTGGGCCCAATGGATGCCCATTTATGTTTGGGGTGAGGCTGCTTGGCACTAGGAATGGGCAAAGCCCTTCTCTTGTTGTGCCTGTCAACTGGTCATACAGCTCTAAAAACATTTACCTTTGTCTGTTGGGATTTCCAGGTTCCCGAAGTCCCCATCCTCCCCCTCTCCCACTAAAAAAAATCAATAAAATTATTTTTTATTTTTATTTTTTTCTTAATTTCTCCTCCTCTGGTATTGGTGATCCCTCCTGGAATAAAAACACTGGGTCTCAGATAATCGTTACTTTTCCTAACTTGCCCCTAGGGTCAGGAAACATGAAATTAGCAACTTTTCAGCCGGTTTTCAAACCACTTCAAGAGGGGCGTCGTCCAGAGGCGGGGTGGGTGGGTGGGTGGGTGGGATGGGGAGTGAACTTAGGCAATGAAAATTTTCATTTGGGATCCTCCTCAAAGTCCCTGCTACTCACGAGACAGTTCTGAGACGACATTTTCCAACTTGGCGCACATAATTCTTGTACGCAAGAGTTAATGAATAGTAAAACACCCTCCGACGAGGCTCCCGCTCCTTTTCCTAGCAGACAGCTGCGGGTCTTGCAAACCATCCATCTGGTCGGGGATCTGAACAATTCCACGTAAAGAGGTCTTCATGCTCTCCGCATGGCACATAATTGTTACTTTCAACACCTCAATTATCTCCAGCGCTTCCCTCTGCTTAAAGGTCGTGTTCTGCTATTGAAGAGATTTATTTTCTCGGCAGCTCAAAAGCAAACCCACCTTTCCACGAGAGAAAGAGAGGGAGGGAGGGAGGGAGGGAGGGAGAGAGAGAGAGAGAGAGAGAGAGAGAGAGAGAGAGAGAGAGAGAGAGAGAGAGAGAGAGAGAGAGAGAGAGAGCGCTAAGGATGGAGACAGAGACTCCTCCATCTCTCAGGCACTGACACCCCCCTGGAAGACCGAAAACAGTCGTGCAGAGTTTTCCTGAATCTCTCTCCCCGCCCCACCCTCCAAAGGTCCGAAGTACCTGCTGAAACAAACCTTCTCTAGATTAAACATCAGCCCGGGTCACCCCCTGCTTTTCTGCCCCGTTCTGCTTACAAGCAAAACGCGAAGAGTGGCGGGTGGGGGGAGGGGGGAGGGAGGGAGGGAAAAGCCTAAAGCAGATTTGTTGCTTCCTTCCTTCCTTCCTTCCTTCCTTCCTTCCTTCCTTCCTTCCTTCCTTCCTTCCTTCCTTCCTTCCTTCCTTCCTTTTTTGTATGTCTCGTGTTTTGAGACTCTCGCTTTGCATGTGAAAGGCGGCGAGCGAGCGAGCGAAATAGCCTGCGATTTATAGCCCTCCCAAATGGAGATAAAACCTTGGCAATGAGTTGGAAACCTGTTGTAATCTGTGATCCAGGAAACAAAGAGGCTCATTAATGCAGAGTCTTTGCTGAGCCTTTGATGTTAGCTAGCATAGCATTCACTCTCCGTTCTATTTGCATTTAAACATTCATAAACATCATTTCTGCTTCCTTTGCCTTAAGCAATTTAGAAGTAAAGTATAGCTTCTATTTAAAGAAACCCACAGTGGTGAAGCTGAGAATACAAATATCACATAATCTTCCAACAGAGGAAATATTTTCTCCTACATTTCTAGTGGACGGCCGATCTAATGTAGACTAAAGATTTAAGGAACACAGATGGTTAAGCCAAGTTTTAAATTGATGTAAAGAAAAAGAGAGGTCTGAATAATTTTCTTAAGGTGAACTTCATATATTAAATACCTTTGCTGGATGTGGAATTTTTACAATTAGATTCCTGAGCAAAGCACTTATAATTAATCTATACCCCTCTTGTTCCCCTTTTATTTCTTCAGTTGAAAGATCTTGAATGACAAAATATTTATGCTAATTCATGATCCAGGAAAAAGAGACTGGCTGGCCATAATATAAATGCTCCCTAAAATCTTAATTCCCAATTCATCTGGACGTGGCCAGCAGATTGAGGGCTGTACTACTATAGCTGTCACATGTTGATTTAAATGGCAGAACATGCCTGGCAGTTGCATACAAATACATCTGCTAGGATGTGCATCACTTGGAGAAAGAGATGTGAGCCATAAATACCACAATTCTGGATTCTTGCACATGTTGTTGCCTATATGCCTTGGAGATCTGCAGGTATGTCACAACCTTATACCACTTCTTTTGGAAACACACTTCACCAAATTCAAGAGGATTTACATTTAAATATGTGTGGTTTACAGAAGAGTAAGGCCTTTGTTTTTAGGCATAATGCAGCATGAATAAACATGCAGGGATTTGTCTCTAATTGTTGAGCTATATTCTGCTATATCAAGAAACTTGGCAGCCTTTTTGACAAATCAAAATGGAACAGAACCCAATAGAAGGAAGGCTGTCATTGTTATTACCTTGGATCCTGAATTCTACATCTGAGGGTTTTTTTTTTAAATGTAACCTCATAACTGAGGATCAATCAACTTAAAGAATTTAGTACATGTTAGTTCCTTGCCAATCTCAAAAAGGTAAGTTCAACTGTGCTTGGTTAGAATTTGGAAGTATAACTGCCAGAAAATTTGAGGCTATGATTGAGAGGAAAACAGATAAAAAAACAGATGGAAAAATTAAAAGGACAAACTTAAATATTTCAGAAACAGGTGACAGCAACCTATCTCTGTACTGGCACCAAGAAAATAACAAACACACCAGGAGTCCAGCTTTCCTTTTTTACATGGACACCTTTTAAAAGCCATTCTTCTTTTTTTAATGCAATGTGAAACAATGAGTGCAAGCAATGTACCATATCTCTGGTAGGAATGTTGCATTTCTAGAAGCAATATTTCCATATAATGCATCATGTAGGAATCTGAAGGGTGTGCATGGAATTAGTGCAAACTAAGTGATCCAAAAACTTTCTACTATGGTAATTGTATTGCTCTCTTTTGGTTGATTTAAGTCTTCATGTGTGCAAAACTATATGGAAGGAGGTAGGTCTTTTTATGAAATGTATTCCTTTAAGCACAGAATTCAGGTTTGTGATTGGATTACTGGCCCACACACCCTAAAATTTAAAAACATAGAAGAAAATAATCTTTCTGATATCTTATTGGAGGCAGATCAAAGTAGAACAATAAGCTTGATGCATTTGTCAAATCGTATCTGCAGGCAATGTCACAAGTTGATTTGCATTGTTATGGGGAAGAAGTCCTGAAGAAGCCCTTATAAAATATCTTGTAACTGCAAGCTTCTCCAATGATTTCAGTGAAGGCAAGATTTCTATTTCAGTAATTTGGGAAAGAGGCACCCAATTATAACTTAAGAAAAATGAATGCTTTCATTTCAGTTCTTCTGATGGGTCTCCTTAAGAATTTTTTTTTTTTAAAAAATACACCCCTCCCCTACACAAAATGCTGCTGGGTTCCTAGCTGCTTCCCTGCAGGAAATAAAGAAGGTAAGGTAAACTTTTTTTTTAAAAAATTTTTTTTTTTGTCAAACTCTTTCTTGTATTTATTTGCTGTATTCATTAATCACCCAAATCTTATGACTCTGAGTGGTGTGTACAACAAAGCAAGTACATATATCAAACATCATTCAAACATAAATACCATCAGACAGTATAAGGAAATTATATAAGTACAAAGATGGGCACCTGCAACAATCAATAGCAGCCAAAGGCTTGTTGGAACATGAAAACGCTTTAGCAATCTTTTGGAATCCCAGAAAGGAAAGAGCTATTCAACTCTCTGAGGGTAGAATGTTCCACTCCACAATGGAGAGGGGGGAGCTGCTACTTTGTCCATTCCACTTATGCTACCATGGGATTCCACTTGGTCCATTCCACTTCCCAGAGGGTTTCCTTTTGGCCTTTGTCCACTAGCATTTCATAGATGTATTTGTTTACAGAAATATCTAATTTAATAAAGGAATATCAATTTCTGCATCTGATCTTTTCAACATTGGTTTTTATGGCACG